CAAATTTAGTATTAGCATAAGCTACTACATCTATTTTTTTCTGACATACGTACCATCACCATTGTAATTAAAGGCTTGCCATAAACTGTTAACTATATATTTATTATGTTCTTTATCATGTTTAATAATTTCGAGTGGTATAAGCAAAGCTTCCTTTACTGGGACTTGCATAGAATAAACAGCTATTGCCATGAAAAGAAAAGGAAATATAATAATCAAGGCAGACTTCATATTTATTATTTTTGTTTTGAAGAAATGATTTTTGAATTCAGAATTAAAATAAATGTAGGTATTAAAAGAATTATAATTATTTTAATTAACGTAAAACGAAGTAAGGCATTTATATAAGATCATTTAATCAAAACGTTAAACTGTCTTATAAGATTTTAGGACGGAATTTTTTCACATGAGTTTACACTTTAACCCTAAATTCTTAGTAAATCCTGATTTGTTCCCATTTTATGATAGACTCCATTTTTTGGATTATTATGATAGATGATTTTTAAATTTTCATAGCGAAACTTATTTTGTAAGAAATTTCCTTTTTTATTAGTAAAATCGACAATTTGTACGTATGTGATTTATTTCCGGATTCGCCTAATTTTTGTAAATCATTAAAAAAAAAGAAATCTAATTAATTTTTATTGGTTCTTACGCTAACATGAACTTGTGTTTTAATTGCTTAGACATATGGGTTTTGCCTTGAAAATCACTTTTGATCGGGTAAATTTGGATAAAAATAAACCCAAGTACCAGTTCATATTTATATGTCAATCATCTTTTACCTTTATTGATTCAATAGTTATTCGATAAACTATTGAATATGAACTGGTACTCAGGTTTGTTTTTAGCCAATTAGCCCGATCGGAAATGTCGGAAGGTGATTTTCAAGGCAATGACCCACATAAATCCTTGGTGTATTTCGGACAATAATTTTATATTAATAAGCTTAGCAAAAATAGACTTTACCAGGACGGAGAGATATTGAAAATTTCACGAAGTGTATGGTTATATCGCAAATTAAGCGCAAAATCTTATATTTTATTGGATGATATATGTGGCCAGACAGAAATATGAATGCATATCAGGAACTTTACACGTAGCACCTCCACAGGGCATATGTAGTACTTCCACACGTGAGTATAAATTTATCGTTTTTCTCGTGTATTCAAAGCAAAATTATACGCATAAGTGCAACTATAAATGTTATAACAAATGATGGTAAAAACATGATGTTCAGACATAAATATCAATGACCCGATTCAAATTTGAATATCTATTCACAGGTTCTTTAGCATTTTTTCATTTTTCATTTTAGGATTTTTTACTGAGTTGATGAAATGATAATCACTGATCATAGATATGGTGTCAGTGCCCACACCCCGATTGACGCATAAATGTTTCACCAATTATTTCAACAATTATTTTTTAACGTTAAGGTTTATCTTATTGCCATTAGCGTATTATTCATTGCCTATTCAATTTCTTTATCTTGATCAATCGAATTATTGAAAGATAAGCTAATACTCATTTGGTTATATTCAATTTTTTTGGATTGATTTAGTCGATACTTCAATCAGTTATTCAAAGATAAGCTAACACTAATTTAATTACCAGATTTCGTTCATATAAAATTTATGTGATCGATGTCAAGATTTC